GATTAGAGGGTCCCTTGCCTCTACCTGTGCAGTATTTGCTAAAATCTAATCTCATGAAAGCAGGACGCTGCAGCCAGGCGTCTGGCAGGAATGACATCCTGCTGCCTCGGGGCAGGTTGTGGTCCCAGCCCAGGGCCACGGGCAGGGCCCAGAAATGGGGAGTGAAGGGGCACTTTGAGAATAAATGCTCTTCAGAGGAGACACAGAGCAACTTCTAGGCCTTTCTAGGACATTTCATGTCCCGTGATGCCTCATCCCTGGACACCCAACTTGCCGTCCTGCTGCCTCGAGGCAGGTTGTGGTCCCAGCTCAGGGCCCAGAAATGGGGAGTGAAGGGGCACTTCGAGAATAAATGCTCTTCAGAGGAGACACAGAGCAACTTCTAGGCCTTTCTAGGACATTTCATGTCCCGTGATGCCTCATCCCTGGACACCCAACTTGCCCAGAATTAATGGAAAGGATCGATACTTTCCATTAACAAACAGAAGTAAAAGAGGGAAATGAGGAACACATAATCTGGAGGCATTCACCTGGAGATCTGTCACAAAACAGAGGGATCAAAGGAACGGATGAGCTCTCCAGCGGTTGTTTGCTGATTCCAAAGTCATCGCACAATCCTAGCGAATAAAGACGGAATATGCAAATTGACCGTAACTTTGCAACAAAGATGGTGGTGCCCAAAGCAAATAAGGAGGAAATATGCAAATTGACACAAGGCGAGAGGCAGAAAGGCAGCTCTGGGCCGGAGCGAAGGCGGTGCCGGCAGCCAGGGGAAGGAAGGCTTATTCTTGCACGAATCTTCGTGCATTGGGCCTCTAGCTGTAAAATAATCTACAGATCACTTCCTATCGGAAAGAGCAGTGATGTCACGAGAGAACAGTGCTCTCCTCTGCCTCCAGAAATCTGCCCAGTGGACAGTAAAGGAATAGAAAAGGACCAGCAAAACAGAGAATGGTGTTGGGGATGAAGTCATGATAAGTACCTCTGATGAAAACTAACTCCTGGGAACACAGAAACATACACAAAAGCATGAAAGTAACACAACGTACTACACAGAGCTCAGCTGTGGACATTGCGTGTCATATTGAAGGAGGGCTGCTTTTACAGAAATAAGTCTTAGCCTGGCTGGTGTGGCCCCATGGTGGAGAGTCAACCTATGAACCCGGAGGTCACAGTTCAACTCCCTATCAGGGTACATGCCAAGGTTGTGGGTTCCATCACTAGTAGGAGGCAGCCGATCTATGATTCTCTTTCATCATTGATGTTTATTTCTCTCTCCTTTCCTCTCTCTGAAATCAATTAAAACAAAAAACAAAAGTCCTAGAAAGTTGACACTATCTATATGCATGTATGATTTTGTTAAAAAAACAAATAGCAAAAAAGAAAGAAAACTAAGCAAATGAAAAAAAAAACAAGGCAATAATCTCTAGGAAAAACAAAACTCTTACAAGAAAATGTCACAGGAGTGCTCAGGCTCACATGACCCATAGTTACAATTCAGTGCGCGAAGCAGACGCGAACACAGTGTGTGAGAGGCGGCTGTGCAGGGGGCTTGGGGGGGGAAGGCACACGCGCCAGGTCCCCCCCCACGAACCATGTCTCAGTGGTTCGTCCATGGCTAACGTCTAACATGAGTCAGTCAAGCAGCAAGGCAGCCAGGTTCAGACACGAGGAGGAAGTGGGGTGGGTGCCTTGGCTGGGGGAACCGAGGGCTGAGGTTGGGGCCGCACTGCTCATCAAGGCCCTTCTGTAGTGCTTGACATTTATCAACTATGGCCGTGCTATTCCCTGGATGAAAACAAGGATTCATCTTAAAAATAAGGAGCCCTGCCCGGCCAGTGTTGGCTCAGTGGTTGAGCATCTATCTGTCCTATGGACCAGGAGGTCATGGTTTAATTCCTGGTCAGGGCACATGACTGGGTTGCTGGCTAGATCCCAGTGTGGGGTGTGTAGGAGGGCAGCCGATCAATTATTCTCATCATTGTTTCTCTCTCTCCCTCCCTTCCTCTCTGAAATCAATAAAAATATATCTGGAGCAGTGGCTCAGTGGATACAGTGTCAATTCCCAGTTGAGTGCACCTACCTGGGCTGCAGGTTCAATCCCCAGTCAGGGCACATGCAGGAGGCAGCTAATGGGTGTGTCTCACATCCATGTGTCTCTCCCCCTCCTCCCCTCACTTCCACTCTCTAGAAAACATCAGTGGAGCCCTGGCTGGTTTTCTCAGTGGTTAGAGTGTCAGCCTACGGACTAAAGGGTTGAGGGTTTGATTTACAGTCAAGGGCATGTACCTTGGTTGCAGGCTAATCCCCAGCCCTGGTCGGGGCATGTGTAGGAAGCATCCAATTGATGTGTCTCTCTCACATCAATGTTTCTCTCTCTCTCCCCATCCCTTCTATTCTCTCTCTTAAAAAAAAGGAAAAAAATATCCTTAGGAGAGGATTATACATACATACATACATACATACATACATAACATGGACCTCATCCTTGCCTGGGTGGCTCAGTTGGTGGGAGCATTGTCCCCTGCAACCAAAGGTCACATGCCCAGGTGGCAGGTTTGGTCCCTGGTTGGGGCGTGTGTCAGTTGGATGCCCGGTAAGGGCACATACCCAGGTGGCAGGTTTGGTCCCTGGTTGGGGCGTGTGTGGGAGGCAACAGATGGATGTTTCTCTCTCACATTGAATGATGTTTCCCTCTGTCTCCCCTTCCTCCCTAAGATCAATAAAATAAATTAAAAAAATAAAAGGACCTCAACTCTCCCAGGACCCTCTTCTTCCCATTCGGCTGTCCCCAACCCAAGACTTCGGGGGTAGGGTGGGGAGGGGAGGGGGCCTGTGCCTCGGGGCCTGCAGGGGTGCAGTGCTGACCACAGACGGGCACCATGGGAAGTGCTGGAAACAGTCCCCCCGAGGCCCACGGGCCCCTATGCAGCACTCTGTGGCATGTGTACAGTCTGTGCTCTGAGGCCTCCATGCCCACTCCTAATGTCAGCCTCTAAACTGTAAGCACTAGGTAGACAGGAGACAGTTCCTGATGAGGAGGGAATTCCGCCGCCTGTCTGCCCGTGTGGTGCTGTGAGGATAAAGCAGTGTAAAAGCTGGCTCGGGTTCGGGGCCGCCAACGCTGCCCGAGGAGCGACACAGGCTCCCCGAGCAGAGGCCTGTGGCTGCTGCCAGGGCCGCCTGTGCTTTCAGCTACACAGTGCAGCCAGGGCACTTTCATTCCATCGTGAAATTCACTGCCCACTTATGTTCACAGTGAGGCTCATGCCGAGTGAAGACGCACTGGGACATGCAGCAGAGCACCGTCCTGTAAGTGGAAAGAAGTGCATGTCTGACCCGCTGCTGTGTGAGTTGCCCACGGGCGTCACAGGACGGGGGCTCCACCATTTCCCATTCACTCTCCTCCATAAAACCAAGCAGAGACCCCTGCCCTCCTGCTTCCCAGCACAGTGCCCGCCAGGAGGGCTCCTTTCCGGCCTGCTGAGGCCAGGGGAGGCTTTGCCGCCTGCTGGGGCCAGGGGGGGCTTTC